TTTTAGTTTTTACATCCCTCTTCTTGGGTAAGATTTGTGTTTTCCGAGGTTCGATTAAATGATTTTTGTCTGGTCTTTAGTTTGATTTCGTTCGTGTCTTTGGATTGTGTTTTGCTCGGCATTTCCTTCTATCTTTAATTGGGGCCTCTGGAAAGTTTCTTATATGAGTTTTAAACTCATAGTGTTAGTGTGATAAATTCTGTGTAGATTAAATCTGTTCACGAGCTAAGCGGGCAAACGTGCCAAATTTGTGAAGATGAAGTGGAGATAACCGATGATGGAGAACTCTTTGTGGCGTGCAATGAGTGTGCGTTCCCCGTTTGCAGAACTTGTTACGAGTACGAAAGGAAAGAGGGAAATCAGACGTGTCCTCAGTGCAAAACCAGATACAAACGCATTAAAGGTGATTTTTTTTGCTCTCTTTCGTTTTATTATCTTTGAAAAAGACTAGCAAATGATTGTAGTTTTTGAAGATGAGAATCTTTTGTATGTGTAGGGAGTCCTAGAGTTGAGGGGGATGAGGATGAAGATGATATTGATGATCTTGAGCATGAGTTTGATTATGGAGATATTGAGGCCTCGGGCTTTCCTCAAAGTGCTGGTTCAATGAACACGGCCCATGGTGGTGTCTTTGGATCGGCCTCGAGGCCTGATTCATCGTCACAATGTCCAGAGATCCCTCTTTTGACATACGGCGAAGAGGTAACTAAATGTTTTTTATTTATGTATGGGATTGTTTGCAAAAACTAGATCTTCTATAGATGAAGTAAAGTTATTGTAGAGGGTGATTCACTAGTAAAAGCTGAAATTTGAGTGAGCTACAAGGATTGTTTTTCCGAAATTATAAGAATTCATTATAGCTTTCATGCTATAGTCAGAAATTAGCATTCAGGAACATTAAAAACGGCTTCGTTTTTTTTTTTTTCAGCCAAAAGCTCTAGTCAACTTTCAAGCTCTTTGCAAAGATGTCTTTCTTTGTTTGTTTTGTGTGTATGTGTGATCACACTCTCTGACTTAGTTGCTATCTGCTTAATTCTAGGATGCCGAAATTGCAAATAATCAAAATGCCATCATACTACCAGGAGCACCTTGTAAGTTTTTCTTTGCAATTGGGTATTTTCTGCTCAAGAAAAAACCTTTCTTAAACTTTACTCTATTAATTCCATGTTTTTTCTTGTGCTATCAGCTAATTACCGACCGATGGTCCCTGAAAAAGACGTTGCGTTATATGGATACGGCAGTGTAGCATGGAAGGACCGAATGGAGGAGTGGAAAAAGAGGCAAAACGACAAACGTCAAGTGGTTAAACATGAAAGGAATAATGATGGTGGGGACTTTGATGAAAATGACCCGGATTTGCCTATGTAAGTAAACAAACAAAGTGCTAATGGTTTGTTCTCAAAGAATAAAATTTAGAAATGCTCTTGTTTTGACTTTAATCTGCTATATATATCCTTGAAATATATGGGTAGGATGGATGAGGGGAGGCAGCCGCTTTCAAGGAAAATGCCGATTGCATCTAGCAAGATAAACCCGTACAGAATGATAATCGTTCTTCGTCTTGTGGTTCTTGGCTTGTTCTTTCATTATAGGATTTTACATCCAGTTCCCGATGCGTATGGCCTTTGGTTAACATCAGTTATTTGTGAAATATGGTTTGCTGTCTCATGGATACTCGATCAGTTCCCTAAATGGTATCCAATCGAACGCGAAACATATCTTGACAGGCTGTCACTTAGGTAAATTCATTTGGCTTTTACAAATTTGCATGAATGAGTTCAAGTTCAATTTTGCAAATTTTGTAACAGGTACGAAAAAGAAGGTAAGCCCTCAGAATTAGCAGATATAGACGTGTTTGTGAGCACGGTGGACCCCACGAAAGAGCCTCCCCTGATCACTGCAAACACAGTGCTCTCGATTCTTGCCGTGGATTACCCAGTCGACAAAGTATCGTGCTATGTCTCGGATGATGGTGCGGCCATGCTAACTTTCGAGGCACTTTCTGAGACCTCTGAGTTCGCTCGTAAGTGGGTCCCCTTTTGTAAGAAGTTCAATATCGAACCTCGTGCCCCTGAGTGGTACTTCTCTCAGAAAATTGACTATCTCAAGAACAAAGTCCATCCAGCCTTCGTGGGGGAGAGGCGTGCAATGAAGGTCTGTTAATTTGTGAGAGATTAATAGAGTTCTGTTATATGAGTAAACTGCACATTTGTTGTCCTGTTCTAATGGGTTTTTGATTTTTGATGTCATGTTTGTTTATTGAGTACAGAGAGAGTACGAAGAGTTCAAAGTTCGGATTAATCGTTTAGTGTCTATGGCTGAGAAGGTTCCGGAAGAAGGTTGGACAATGCAAGATGGAACACCTTGGCCCGGTAATAATGTCAGAGATCATCCTGGTATGATTCAGGTTAGTGATACTTCTCATCAAAATTATTTAACTTTATTTGTTCCTTTTTTTTTGTTTTTTTAATTTAAATTTTCTGAGTTTCTTTCAAAACAGGTATTTCTAGGTCATGACGGTGTCCGTGATAATGAAGGGAATGTGCTGCCTCGTCTGGTTTATGTTTCACGTGAAAAGAGGCCCGGTTTCGAGCATCACAAGAAAGCCGGGGCTATGAATGCACTGGTAAAAAATAGAAATTGTAAATAAATATCGGTTTATAATACGATAGAACGAGAAAAAAAGAGCTTATGACTTACTTTATCACTTTTATAACAATAATAATTTCTCCAGATTCGAGTATCGGCTGTCCTATCAAATGCTCCCTATCTTCTGAACGTCGATTGTGATCACTACATAAATAACAGCAAGGCTATGAGAGAAGCCATGTGCTTCATGATGGACCCCACTTCTGGGAAGAAAGTGTGCTACGTGCAGTTTCCACAAAGATTCGATGGCATCGACAGACACGATCGGTATTCGAACCGTAACGTGGTTTTCTTTGATGTACGTTTATTTTATGTATTGATTTATGTATTTATTTATTTATTTATTTTGTGTGTGTTTTTTCTCTGTTCTCTATTCACCGAATTAATGTTTTGAGGAACAGATAAATATGAAGGGCTTGGATGGCTTGCAAGGGCCTATATACGTTGGTACCGGTTGTGTCTTTAGAAGGCAAGCTTTGTATGGATTTGATGCTCCTGCTAAAAAGAAGGCGCCTAGCAAGACTTGTAACTGCTGGCCAAAGTGGTGCTGTTTGTGGTGTGGATCATCCCGGAGAAATAGAAAAGGGAAAACAAAGAAAAACAAGAAGAAGTCGAAGCACAGAGAGGGGTCGAAGCAAATACATGCCCTCGAAACCATTGAAGAAGGGATTGAAGGTAAAAGCTCTCATTTTGGGAAAAAGAATTAGAAAATTTTACGGGGAACTAATGTAGTAAAGTTTGTTGATTTGTTACAGACACAACTATTGTTAGCCGACCCTTTATTCCCCAAGAGAAGCTCGAGAAGAAGTTTGGGCAGTCGCCTGTTTTTGTTGCTTCAACTTTACGCGAAAATGGTGGCGTTATTGAGACTGTTAGTTCCACATCACTCTTGAAAGAAGCTATCCATGTTATCGGTTGTGGCTATGAAGACAAGACAGAATGGGGAAAAGAAGTAAGTTTATAGATAAACAAATTTATAATTTCATACCTTTTCACTATATTTCACGAATGCTGACCAATCACACTTTTTTCTTTTCATCTGTAATAATTTTATTTTTCCATTATTTATCAGGTCGGTTGGATATATGGCTCGGTCACAGAAGACATTTTGACCGGTTTCAAGATGCACTGTCACGGTTGGCGTTCGGTCTACTGTATACCCAAGAGAGCCGCATTTAAGGGATCGGCTCCAATCAACCTTTCCGATCGTCTTCACCAGGTACTCAGGTGGGCTCTTGGGTCAGTCGAGATATTCTTAAGCAAACACTGCCCAATATGGTACGGTTATGGGGGTGGATTGAAGTGGCTCGAAAGGTTTTCCTATATTAATTCGGTAGTGTATCCGTGGACTTCTATCCCGTTGCTCGTCTATTGTACACTGCCGGCCATTTGTCTTCTCACCGGGAAATTCATTGTCCCTGAGGTATGTGGAAACTCCACAATGTGTTAAAATAAATGCATCACTATATTTGTCACCTTTCCAAATAATATATTTAACATTTTCAAAATGCTACCCTTGGTGTTTCCGAAATTAAGGGTACAATGTAAACTTTCCATTTGCATTATTTTACAAATTGAACGTGTTGAGTTGAGTAAACTTTACATTTCCTGTTTTGAATTTCGTCTCATGTTTGCAATAAGGCTACAAAAAGGTCCTTTTCGCAAGTCGAATTTGCAAAAAAACACAAAATAAATAAATTGCGAGTTCGTCCCTTCGGAGGACATTTTTGTAACCTTTTTGCAGACATGAAAATTTGAGGGTACTGAAACATGACTAAAACACTCGAGAAAATTGCAATTTTAGTCATGTATGTTATCAACCGAACTTTTTGGTCCCATTCAAATTGTTGTTTTGAAGTTCGTCCTTATGTTTGCAATAAAGTTACAAAAAGGTCATTTTCGCAACAAAAAGGTTCCCTTCGAATTTGCACAAGCGTTGCAATTTTTCGTCCCAATGGGGATCTTTTGGTAACATTTTTTTTTCCAAATATGAGGGTAAAAAATCAGTACATCAATTAATTCGAATGGGACGAAAAAGTTACGGTAGTGAAATATACCTTGCATTTTTTTTTTTCTCGAATCGCTCTATTTTCACACACGATTTCCATCCTTTACTGCTCTAATCTAAACCTTTTTTTTTTTTGGCAAACGCTCTAATCTAAACTTGACCTCCCATAACGAAAACCAAAACAAAAACAAAACAGATAAGCAACTACGCAAGCATCATGTTCATGGCCCTATTCGTCTCGATAGCCGCAACAGGCGTGCTCGAGATGCGGTGGGGCGGCGTCGGCATCGACGACTGGTGGCGAAACGAGCAATTTTGGGTCATCGGTGGTGTCTCGGCCCACCTCTTTGCCCTCCTTCAAGGCCTCCTCAAAGTCCTTGCTGGTGTAAGCACCAACTTCACC